AGGTTATTCCAACAAACAGACTGAATGGGTTTAAGATCAAAGAACTTTTAGAGGTTGTTTTTGCTGACATAATTGGTCCTAAGAAACCCAGTTTGGGAGGTGCCTGCTATGTTTTGAGCATAATGGACCATTAGTCACGGTATGGTTTCTGCTATTTAATGAAAATCAAAACAGAAACGTTCCAACATTTCTTTAATTGGCTAAGGTTTGCAGAAGGAAAAATGAAATGTAAGGTAATTACTTTAGTTACAGACAACAGGACTGAGTTTATTAACAATAGATTCCAAATGATGTTGAAATTGGCTGGTATCGAGCATAAGCATTCTGCACCTTACAGGCCACAACATGACTTGTTTATGGAATGAAGGGGGGCAATGTCACAAGCCATGGTCGCACTATGTTATCTGATTCAGATTTGCTTGAAACACTGTGGGGCGAGGCTATAATGTGTAGCAACCGTGTGTTAAACAATGTGGTGAACACAACAATTGGAGAATTGCCATTCACTCGTTGGCATGGCAGAAAACCAAATTTAAGTTATCTACACACATTGGGAGCTCCAGCATGGGTGCATATTCCCACACAAGTAAGACTTAAAGGGCAACATAGAGCCAGGAAATTATTTTTCATAGGTTACGAGGCCAACCATAGATCATTTAGATTCTGGGATCAAGGCACATTTAATATTTACTGCAGCACTAGTGCTAAATTTCTTGAGCATGTTGGGTGGCATAAACTAGAACAAGAATCCAACAATGATGTTGTTATCAACATCCAAATAGTCCCTAATGATGAGGTAGTTAAACCATCAATTGCCATTAAAGAGGAAGAACAGGCACAAGAGGAGGTATAGAACAGGAGCAGGTGGAACAGAAGAGTCCACCAGTAAACCCTGAGTTGCCTAGACGTTCAACCCATGTAATACGACCACCAGATAGATATCAGGCAAGTATAGTATGCCAAGTAAATACAGTTCCTACTAACTGTAATGACCTGGAACTGTATCCTGCTAAGGATCAGGCTGCTTGGCAGGAAGCAATGGATAAGGAACTGAAATCTTTACAAAGTTTGGAAATATATGGAAATGCCAGGTTACCACCAGGTAAGTATGCCATAGGGTGTAGGTGGATTTATAAAATTAAGACAGGTGTGGATGGGACTGTTACCCATAAAGCCAGGTTAGTAGCACAGGGGTTTGATCAGTCAGCCAATGACTACAATGAGGTGTTTGCACCTAGTCTGAAGGCAGTTACCACATTACGAGCAGCATTAGTGTGGGCAGCTAAAAAAAATAAATACACAATAAACCATTTAGATGTGGAGACGGCATATCTTTATGCACCGTTGCAACATATATATATATTTTAAAAAGCCTTTAGGTATAACAACTGATAATAATACTGATTGCTGGAGATTAAAAAAGAGTCTTTATGGCTTAAAGCAATCAGGCTATGAATGGAACCAGTGCATAATGAAGGAATTAACTAAGATAGGTTTTGTAGCTGGAATGGCTGATCCATGTTTATTCAAAAAAGTGATGGTGTAGTTTCATTGTTGCTATTGTTTACTGATGACATAGCATTAATCACTAAGACTGAGCAAGAAGCTACTGAGATTATTTCACTGTTAGAGAAGAAATTTAAAATGAAACATTTAGGAGAGATTAAACAGTGTCTTGGTTTAAAAATAGATAAAACTAGGTGATGATATAAAATCTCACAGGCAGATAAAACTAACCAGTTACTAAAGCATTTTAAAATGGAACTTCATAAACTGGCTAAAACATCAATGAGCCAGGAGTTTAGCCACAGTGATGTGCAAAGTCCTGTTTTTGATAAAGATATTTATCAATCTTTAATTGGTAGCTTACCTTAGTAATTGGTCAAGGCCAGATATATAGGGTCAATCAATTAGCGAGGCTTAATACTGAGCCAACTGAAAGGCACTAGCAAGCTGCTAAGCTGGGGTTGAGGTATCTTAAACAAACAATGCATGATGCATTATATTTAGAGCCTAAGAATGAACTAAGTTTAACTGCATATGCTGATGCAAGTTTTGCTACAGATGTACCTACGTGTAAATCAACATCAGGTACTGTAGTATTATTAGGAAAGGTGTTAATTGGATGGCGGTCTATTCGAGAAAAACATCTAAGCTTATCAACAATGGAGGCTGAATTCTCATGTTTGTCGCTATTATGTACGGATTTAGTTTGTTATAAACAACTATTGATTGATATGGGAATTAATGTAAAGGAACCTATTGTTTTGTATGAAGACAACCAATCAGCAATTCAGATGGCTTCCAATCTCTCCGTAAAAACAAGATCTAAGATATCTAAATGTGAGACAATGTGTTCAAAGTAAAATGATTATACTGGAGTACTGCATGTCAGAGAATAACATTGCAGATCATTTTACGAAAGCCCAAGGCGCACTGTAAAACATAAGGCTTGCTGTGAAGAATATGGACTTAAACTGTAAAGCTTTATATATTGTTCTACACAAAGGGGAGAATGTTAGAAATGATAGTCACCTAGCAGTTGGGTTGGAGATATATTAACCAGGTTAATAATTTAATACTGTATCTTTAAGAGACTGCTGTAATTGTGATTGGCTGAGGTTCCTCCAACGGCCATAAGATGGCCCCAAAACCTGGTTTCTTTCTCCTTGTATTTCCTGTTTTGCCGCATTGCCTGATCGTCATTCTGCTCAGATTGCTGTGAGTTTTGCAACTGTTAGCAAACTCCATTTACTGAACTTTATTTATGATACTTGACTTCATTTTTTGATTATCCCTGGACTGATACTAACTGCTTTGACTGTGTATGATTTGAACTGTTTGTTGGACTTCGTTTACCCAATTACTGGAAGTAAAACCTACTTTTTACTATTCAGTGTATCTGTATGTTGGTTGTATGTTATTCAGCATCACTCTCACTACATTTCCCTGAGTGCACTCTTTCTCCTAACGGGGAATAACCTCAACACAGTCACTTCTTAAAAATCTCCAGTAATGAAGGACCTGCAACTTCTGAGGGCAAGCTGTTCCACTGGTTAATTGTCCTCACTGTTAGGAAGTTCCTTCTTACTTCCAGGTTGCTTCTCTCCTTGATTAGTTTCCATCCACTGTTTCTTGTCTTGCCTTCTGATGCTTTGGAAAATAAATTGACCCAGTCCTCTTTGTGGCAGCCTCTGAAATACTGGAATACTGCTATCATGTCTCCCCCACCCCACCCCAGTCCTTCTTTTCTCTAGGCTAGCCGAATCCTGCAACTATTCTTCATATATTTTAATCTCTTTAATCTTCTTAGTTGCTTTTCTTTGCACTTTTCCCAAAGTCTCAACATCTTTTTTGTAATGTTGTGACCAAAACTGGATGCAGTATTCCAGGTGCGGTATTACTAAAGCTTTATAAAGTGGACTTCCTTGGTTTTTTTTTTTTTTGAAGATGTGTCACTTTTCATCCAAGAAGCTTCTTCAGCTCTGATTTAATGACTCTCTAAAAGAATGCAAATAACCAGCTGTCTGCAAGGAATACAAATCCTTCCATTCCCTACCATCCAGTCAGAGCTGAAGAGGCTCTGGTTCTTCTGGTCCTTCTGGTTGAGAAGGAAACATTTTCAAAGAAAAAACAAGAAAGCCCAATTGCCTCCTGAAAAAGCACCTTTGGTACAATCATGATCTGGATGACTGAGAATCTCCATAGATTTTAGCTATGAACTTTGGGATTATCACTATTTGTGGGCTTATGAACAAATTTTCCAGAAAAATTGAGGACTGTACGAACCATTTCCAGTTCAGTTTGAGATGCAGACAACACAGACTCATGCCCAAGAGCCTGTGCCTGTCTTCAACAGTGAAGGGATATAGGGCAGAAAACATCCTTCAACCAAGAAGGCTCCATACCTATTTTCACTACTCAGGTGACCCTGAGGATACAGATAAACCTCCAAGTGGCCTTAACGACTCTCTAAAAGAATGCAAATAACCAAGTGTCTGCAAGGAGTATAAATCTTTCCATTTCCCACCACCCAATCAGAGCTGAAAAAGTTTCTTGGTTGAGAAGGAAACGTCTTCAAAGAAAAACCAAGAAACCCAGTTGCCTCCTGAAAAAGCACCTTTGGGACAACCACAACCTTGATGACTTTGTTTGTGGAAAGCTAACAAAGAAGTTTGGCTTACCATAGGGAGTGTATTGGCTCCAACTTTTTAAAAATATTTACACCAATTATCAGCCATTCCCTGAAGGTAGAAACAACTATATGTATGTTGATTATCAAGCAGTGGTAATACAGATGAACACTATACAGAAGCCTGATGATGGCAGATGAGATTCTGCCAAAACGTTGCTACAACTTTGAAAGCACAACTATAATGATGTGGGAAAATACCCAAGCAAAGCTGAATACCATTTATACACACACACACACACACACACACACACACACACACACACATATACATATACTTACAACAATTCATTTAGTGACTGTTCAAAGTTACATTACTGAAAACAGTGACTTATGACCATTTTTCTTACTTATGACCTTTGCAGCATCCCCATGGTCACATGATTTACATTTGTATGCTTGACAACTGACTCATATTTATGACAGTTGCTGTGTCTTGGGGTCATATGTTCATCTTTTGGCAACCTGACAAGCAAAGTCAATGGGGACACCAGATTCACTTAACAACCGTGTTACTAATTTAACAGCTGCAGTGATTCACTTAACAAATGTGGTGAGAAAAGTCATAAAATTTGGCAAAACTCACAATTTCTCCCTCAACAACATAAATTTTGGGCTCAATTGTGGTCGCAAGTTGAGGACTATCTGTATATAATTTTGCTGTAACCCTTGAGTCACCATTCTGCAATTATATTCTCTATCTCTCAGTTTGGTGGACCTCAAAGACCCAGCAGGAAAAAAAAAGATTGAGAGTTAAATCAAGGATTCTTAGCACCTTGACCTTAATTGTGATTTGATTTATTTTTAGGTTTCATCTTGTGAGAAATGTCGCTGTGAAGCCAATGGTGAAGTAGTGTGCACTGTGTCTGCTTGTCCTCAGACTGATTGCGTAGACCCTGTATATGAACCAGATCAATGTTGCCCCATCTGCAAAAATGGTAGGTAACAGATGCAAATTTTTGTGCTTAAGCACTTCAGCCCCAAACCCATTGTTTCATGCAGTCATTAGCTGCATAATTACATTCCAAAAACATGTTTTGTCTGCACATGATCTAGAAGTATAAAGCTGTACAAATGTAGCATAATTAAAATATGCCATATTCTTAGTGTAAAATGTTTAAAGCAAGAATTGCTTCAGAATAATCTAGGGAAATTAATGATGGAAAAAAGAAAGAGACATGTAGAAGAACATGCCTGTCTAAAACAAAGAATATACATTTTGTGGCATGTCTGACTTGATTTTTAATTCATGCATCTAATAGTAGATTATTGATTTAATAGATTGTGTTAAGTATATATTGCATGTCTTTCTAGTTTAAAGTGTTCAGTTGAATATAAAACCTGGATAAGCTATCTGTGCTAATTCATTTAAGTTTCCCTTATTATCTTCCAATATTTTCAATTTTATTTTATCTATTTTATTTTTGCTTCAGTTAATCTGTATTTCATAATACCGTATAAGATGCTCTGAAATATAAGACACACCTAGCTTTTGCGGAGGAAAACAAGAAAAAAAAATCTGCCTCTGCATACCAGCAATTTGCCTCTTTGCAAGCAAACAGCAAACAGCCTGGTCAGCTTCAGTACAGCCTGATTAGCACAAGCAGCTGATTGTTGGTTGGATCGGCCTTCCGATGATCAGATGTTTCAAGCTTCAGGGATTGCCATCACTATTGCCACCTCCGCATGTCCTATTTTCAACTTCCACATCCCATTTTCAGCCCCCACGTGCCCCATTTTCTGCCTGTCTCAATCCCCGCCGCCTGGAACAGGCCAAAAATGGAGTGCATGGAGGCTGAAAATGGGGCATGTGGAGGCTGAAAACGGGATGAGAAGGCCGAAAATGGGGCGCGTGGAGGTGGCAATAGTGATGGCAATCCCTGAAGCCTGAAACAGCTGATCGTCAGGAGGCTGATCCAACCAACAATCAGCTGCTTGTGCTAATCAGGCTGTGCTGAAGCTGATGAGGCTGTTTGCTGTTTGCTGCAAGGAGGCAAATTACTGGGAGGCAGAGGCCAAAGGGGGGGGGCCCGGGGGGGGGGGGGGCTTCAGCAACATTCGCTGTATAAGATGCACAGACATTTCTACCCAGTTTTGGAGGGAGTGCGTCTAACACACTGAAAAATATGGTAACTACTTTTTTTATTACAGGTACTCCTCAATTTACAGTCATAATTGAACCCAAAATTTCCATTGCTAAACAAGACAATTGTTAAGCGAATTTTGCCCCATTTTACAATTTATTTATTTTTTTGGCATAGTTAACGGAATCATCTCAATTAATAAGTTAGCAACACAGTTGTTAAGTGAATCAGGCTTCCCCACTGACCTTGCTTGTCAGAAAATGACAAAAGGTGATCACATGACCCTGAGTGCTATAACCATCATAAATATATGATGGTTGCCAGGCATCCAAATTTGATCAGATGTTCTTTTCCTGTTCCAAAGGTTTTTTCAAGGCTTTAACAAATCTTTTTTGTAAGTCCAGTAAAGAGTCATTGTTCTGGTCACTGTTTTGGCTTATCATTTGTATTTCTATTTTAACTGTCATCTCTGTCTTATAATCCATTTTTTTCCTTTTCTAATATTTCATCTTTATGTTCTAGTTTTTCAGTATCAAATAAGGCTTGTTTCAATGTAATGGTATGTGGATATCACCTTGAATATGACAAGGGATACTTCCCAAGGAATAATTAGATAAGAAGGGGCATAACCCACAGCTGCACAGTAGGCAAAGAAACCTCCTTAACTTTTCAGGTTGTAGAAGAAACAGCAGGAGATTTGTATTATCAGACTTGCAAGATTCTATTAGTGTATCCTTAAAAGTAGAATTGGCTCATCTGGTCATGTTTGCTTACCTGGGAAACATTCAGTTGCTTATCCGGTAGATCTTTTAAGATATTCTTTTTGCACATCAGTCATTTTTAAAAATATATTTTGGGCATAGTCTATCCATAGAAGCAGAGAACATTGCTGACAGCGCAGCTGCTATTTCCTGTCCCCATTCTTCATTTATCTCCTGGAGCATTTCAGCTGTCATATCCTTTCTGTCATTTTGTCGCAATGCTGACCAAAGGCAAAAGGCAAGGCTGTCTCTTTTTTCTTTTATGCCTAGAATCTTTAGTCTTCTGTTGTATCCAATTTCTGGAATCATAAAGTCTTGATTTTCTCTTATGATTTATTTAGAGTAGACAAAGAATTTAGTCCCCACGAAGAAGCTATTTATTCTTTCTAAAATCTTACGCCAAAAATTTTAATATTCCAAAATTGTCTGGTCCCTTAATTTGTTCATAATTTTCTTGAATTATGAAGGTTTGAGGCTGTAACAACAGAGTCAGGTAGGGCATTCCAGATGTTGACCACTCTGTTGCTGAAGATGTATTTTCTGCAGTTGAGTTTAGAGTGGTTTACCCTGAGTTTGTATTGGTTGAGTCTCTTTGGAAGGAACATCCAGCAACAAGTAGACAACCTTCCATTTCCTTCTTATCAGCAGATACTCCATGGGAATTATTTCTTGCTGTTTCTTGTTCATACCCAGATCATCATCTCCACTCATTCAGAGATCTGCTAGCTGGTCATTTTCATTAAATAGTAAATATATAAATCTTAATCTTTTTTCACATGGTCCTTTCAGATGTTTGAGAAGTATTAAAATATCCTCCCTATCTTCTTTTCTCAAGACTAAAAATGCTTAATCTTTATTTATAGGACTATTTATTTATTGGATACACAATTAACAAAACATTAAATTAAAAAAATCAAAAATGTAAACTAAGAAATAAATAAATTACATTATATTTTATACATCCAATAGTCACATTTAGTAATGAATACATTATAATTCTATGCATAGTATATTATTATAAAATATTACAAAATCTGCCATTATAACACATATTGCTACTTCCTTTAGAAAATACTGCCCTTTCCAAAACATTATCACACATGACCAAGAACTATTCCTTTATATCTTCTAGTATCAGATTTCCAATTTTTCAATGCGATTCTTCTAACTATTCCCTGCCACACTTGACAATAGCTATAATGCTTGATTAACAAATTCCAAAGTTTTAGTATGTGATGTTAAAATCTTTAATATTTAAAGATTTCCCCATAAATCTGCTTTATTCATTAACATATTGATGGAACAGTGGTGAGAATGCAGTATTGCAGGCTAATTCTGCTGACTGCCAGGAGTTTGATTTTGACTGCACAAAGCTTGACTCAGTCTTCCATCCTTTCGAGATAGGTAAAATGAGGATCCAGATTGTTGGAGGTAATATGCTGATTCTTAAACTGCTTAGCGAGCTTGGTAAAGCACTATGAAGGGATATATAGTATAAATTTGTTATTGCTATTATCCCCAAAAGAAATCAAATAATCACATGACCAATATCATAAGAATCAATGAGTTCTAAACAGTTTACACCTCCCAGAAATAAAATCTGATATCTATCCTTTCACATATGTATCTGGGGAGTCCAGTACACCCTAAATACATTTTATTTGTCAGCTTAATTGTAGATTTGCTGCTATCATTTTAACATTTTAAGGTTGTTTTTAAGGTCTTTATTGGAGATTCCAGTAAATGTTTAAGAGATCCCAGGAATATCCACTTTAAAAACATTTTTTAACTTTCTAATTCTGTTAAGGGTTGCTGTCAGAAATAATGAAATGGGTAGTTGTTTAAAATGATTTGTAAAATAGCAACTTTTGGGGGGAGAGGTGAACAATGTGCATATGAAGCTTTTTACCCTTAAGGCAGGGGTGGGATTCTACTGCCTCTATCCGGTTCTGTAGAACCCATTGTTAACTTTCTAAGCAGTTCAGAAAACCTATAGTTAGAAGCAATCTCCTTTTGGTTTTTTTCCACCCTTATTACATTCTTGCCAGAATGCATAGACTTCCTGTCTCTGGAGCTTGTGAGGCTTGGCTTTCTTAAAGGGGAAGGGTTGTTTTAAGATTTTTACACTGCTGTTGGTAGGAAATACTTCCCTGGACAATTAGCACTTTGAAGAAATAATTGAATAATGAAGCAAAGCTTTTAGTGACAGGGAACCAAGATGAGTGACATTCAGCAAGGCTGCTTGGCTAGTGAGAAGGATTGACATTCAAACGTGAGTTTACATATTCTTTCTGAGTTTTGGTTTAAAACTGGTTTTTGGTGAAGGTTAATTCTGTGCTTGGTGAAGTGTAATCCTGTGTTTATTGATGGGATAATTTTCCCTATTCAGCTTCAACGAGCAACAGTTACTGTAGTGATTTAATTATTTGTATTGTGTTTGAATTTTTTCTTGCCTTCTTCTATTTGGGGAGTGGGGTCTTCCTTCACTGCTTTAATACTATCTGGCACTGTCCTTTTGGGGTATACTTCCAAGAGGCAGGATGCAAGCTTGGCACGGATTTTTTTTACTGCCTTTCTGGGGGCATGTGATCTTTCCTTAAATCTGGATGATTTCCTTAGGATATCTTGTGAAGTGAGTGAAACCAGCTGGTAATTTTAAGTGGTGCAAATGGATCTAAGGATTGCTTTTCCTGGGTCTGCTTTTTCTAGAGAGCTTAAATGACCTCTCTGCTAAAGGGTTTCACTTTATGAGCAAGAGTTGGCTGCTTATAGTTATCACTACATTTTAAATATTTTCATTCCTCAAGGTGCTCGGCTACACTGCCTGATTTGTAATTGCAGCTTGTAGGTATTTTTAATCTAATGATTGGTATTTAGGGCAGCTTTTTGCAAGCAAAGAAGCTTTTTGTATTTTTGTACAGGTAATCCTTGACATACAACATTTCATTTAGTGACCATTTAAAGTGACAATGGCACTGAAAAAAGTGACTTATGACTGTTTTTCATACTTACAACCATTGCAGCATCCCCACTGTCATGCCAGGCCAGGCAAAGGGAAGCACCCCTTAATGTGAGTGATGTTGAGTTGGCCAC